TGCTCTTTCCAGACAAGCCTATCCCACAGGCATATGATGCAAGCAATCTTTTCCGCATTGACAGTTTGCCTCACGGTTGCAGTGCTGAGATGCTCAACAAGTGGTCTGGGGTAGTGAATTGGCAGTTCCGACCGCTCAAAGCATTAGGACCTAACGCATGGCTGGTAGGTAGTACATCAATGCCACCGTCAGAGTTTCTCACTTTCAATGCCAAACCTGTGCTTGTCAAGTACCTGCCTCCGAAAGATGTGACTCATGCCAGTCCCATAGTTGCCGGCCCTCTTCCAACCAAAAATGACCGGCTTAAAACTGCATGTGGGGTCATGGAGGATCCCTGGGCACAGGCAGCACAACTGCGTGGACTGCCGCCAGTGTTGAATCGTGACTTGACAGGTCCAACAGAGACACGCCTGAAGGAACAGGACAATAAGCTGGAAGAACAGTCCAGTCGCATTGAGCAGATGGAACAAGCATTGGAGCAGTTGCGAGCGGACACAAAACAAGGTTTTGACCAGGTCCAACAGAGAGAGCAACAAGCTCAAATGAACATGCACACAGCCATTCAAGGTATGAAAGCTGACCTGGAAACCTCCTTTCAGTCGGCATTGATGCAGCAATCCACTCAGCTCAATTCCACGCTGGGTGAGCTTCGTTCCTTGCTCCAAACCAGTACCAAGCGAGGCAGAGGTGCGGATGAAGAAAGCATGGAATCGTGAAACATGATTTATTACAGCATAGGCAAATTAGGGGATAAGACAAACTTTTTTGTTTGCCTGCACATTAGCCATGTCAGGGTTAACCTTGACCTAATACCATCAAGACCAATTTGGTTGATCTTGCAATCCATAATTGAACCTCGGCTGGGGAAAGCTGAACGTTTGATGCAGTATACATGCCTTTGCCTTTTGACGTGTGATGCAAATGGTTCAGATACCATGCACCCAGTTTGTACAGCATTTTGCCATGCATCCGATTCCATGCCAAGCAGATTACATGTCAGCACCATTTGTAATTCGCAGGCCATTTTGGCCGTTTCGATTATCCCAATTATGCAGCCAAAATGTATCAGTAAACCATCTCTTCATGTAGTACGAAAGTGGCCTGAAAATTGGCCTCTTCCAGTACGCAAAAACTTGCGGGTCAAGAGACAGCCGTGCCATGATTATCTCCATGCTGCTAGGATAGGTGAGGCCTCTAATCCAGGTCCCTATCATAAGAAACCAAAGAATGCCAAGCAAGCCATTATTGCCATTGTCAATCCAACAGCCATTCGAAACAAGCACGAAGAATTCCGTAACTTGATGGATTTACATGGTGTAAATACCATTTGCTGTTCAGAAAACACTGCTACCAAAGAGGTCCAAAAGGTCATGACAGGTAAACTTTCTAGGCTTAAACTTGCCTCAGTTTGGTCACCGCCAGTTTTGCCTCAACGTGAAAAATGTAGTAACCAGCCATCCTTGCGAGGGAGGGCAGGTGGAACATCCATACACACGTTGTGGCCAATGCGACCTGGATACTCACAAGTTGAACATGACAGTGCTCCAGATAGGCTTGTCCATGCAGTCATGCAATGGGGTGGTATGTATGTTCAAGTTGTCACTATCTGCGGTTATGCTGGAAATGCTACCTGGCACAAACAAGCTACGAACCACCTATTCAATCTTGCAGTCCAGAAAACCGAAGCGATCAATCTACCTGCTATTTTTCTTGGGGACTTCAACCTGGATGTCCAACAACTTGATCTATTCAATTACCTGGCTTCCAAAGGATATATGTCGCTTCAGCAGTTACATGAGCACATGTATAGCTACCCAATGCCGTGCACGTGCAAAAATGTGACAACACCAGATACTGCCATCCTTCCCCCAGTGTTGATTGAAAGACTTACAGCCATAAAAGTGGATAAACAGGGACTCTTTGACACACATGACCCCGTCATTTTCGCAATTGAGATTCCTGAATTCCAGATTTTCAACCAGCGTATTGCTACGCCAAAATCATGTGTTGAGTTGCCAGTTGACCAGACCGATATTGCAAAGGCTGCAGAAACAACCTGCCAGTACAGTGAGCCGACTGATCTTGAAGATTGGGCCAATCTTGTGGAGGACACTGTAGACACTGCCATTCGTAACTTGAATCATCAAAATCCACAACTGTACACTTTGACACATTTGCCCAAACATCACAGGGGTAGATGCCGACCTGTGAAAATCCGTCAAATACCACTTGTCACACCTGCCAAGAAAGCACGAGACGGGGACTTCAATCCAATTATGGAATGTGCCAGCTATCGCTCCAAGCATTTTGTCAGGCAGATTAGAAGACTGCACTCTCTGCGTTTGCGACTTAAGAGACTTGCCTCACAGACAGATATTTGGCCAAGAACAATTGTGGGACTCTGGCAAGAATGGGCATCCATCCTAAGCTGGAAAGACCAATCCCGTAGTTTTTATTTCTGGGCATGTGATCACCCTGAACTCTGGCCCTTTCCAACGGGACTTCCAGATTTAACATGGTTAGAAACCGCTGAGCAATTCCTACAGCATGAACTGACGGACATCTTGTATCATGAACAAAAGCTTAGGCATAAGAAATCAAAATTACAGCATCTTATAGATTGTCATGACAACTACAAGAAAGCTGCATATGCTGCAATACGCTGTTCGGATTTTCAGCCTTTCAAACATGTCTACAAGACAGTTGAAGACACTGCTATTGCTGTTGCCACTGAGACGCAGAATGAGTACGAATGTTTTGTGGATCAAGCAAGTCGTTTTCGTACCCTATTGCCAATTCAAGTTGAGGGAGTTGAGGCCAAAGTACTTGATGTTCAAGAACATTATGTCAAGATTTCCATGCCAACTCGGCAAGAAACTTTGCCAGAACAGATCAGCCTCAAGCAAGACATCAGTACCTTTCATCAAAAAGAAGTTTTTGATGAACTTACAGGATATTGGACCCATTTCTGGAATCGACCTGCCCGGCATGAGGAAGAAGAGTTCTTTGCACACTTTCAAGTGCCACCTCATACATTTCCACAGCTTGCCGATAATTTTGAAGACTGCCTTGATGACTGGCGTACAGCGATCTCAAAGTGTAATAGTCACTCAGCTCCTGGAGTGGATGGTTTTACTTTTCAAGAACTCAAGATGTTGCCTGACAAGTTGCTTAGGTCGTTGGTTGTCATCATCTCAAATCTGCAGGAATTCCCGGCGCATTTTATGATTGCACGTACAGTCCCACTCCCCAAAAAAGGTAAACTAACGGCTGAAAATAGCCGACCCATCACCATTCTTGCCACTCTTTATCGGGTTTGGAGTAAAGTCTGCACTACCAGATGTTTGCGACATCTATCCAGACATGTATCTAGCACAATCACCGGCTTCCTGCCCAACAGAGGCGCCCATGACTCAAGTTACGCGATGCAGGCGGTGCTGGAAGTGCAGAGATACTTTCAACGCCATATCACAGGACTCACACTGGACCTACGGAAGTGTTTTAATCTTTTGAACCGAAGAAAGGTTGCCATGCTATTGGTCAATTTTGGAATTCCAGCCAGGTTAGTCCAAAAATGGCTGCATTCTCTGCAGCATCTCACCAGAGTTTGGGATGTCGACAAAAACGTTAGTGACTTTATTCCATCTACAACAGGTTGCCCTGAGGGTGATGCATGGTCAGTTGTCTCCATGATCTGTGTATCTGAGACTTGGAGTAGGTATCTTTCTGCCAAACATGCTGACATCACCACTATGGCATATGCAGATAATTGGACCTTGTGGTTAGGCAATGCGCAATTGCGACCAGAGCCAGTTTTTGAAACAGACGACTTCGTGCGTTGGATGGGATTGGAGATTAGTTGGAGTAAGACCTGGGTTTGGAGCACTGATTCCGAAGGTTCCCGAAGGCTTTTGCATATGCTACAGGATTACCTGCAGGAGGAAGACCTCCGAGCCATGACCACAGCCACTGACTTGGGATGTCAAATGACATATCATGGCCACAGCAAATTGGGCATACTGCAAGATCGTTTTGAGAAGGCTGGTTCTCGACTGTTAGCGTTGAAGCACTACACTTGGGTTCTTCCACTTAAGTGTCATTTGGTCCATACGAGCGTTTTGCCACTTGCACTTTATGGGGTAGAACTTCATGCTGTTGGCCAGAGACACCTTGACACGCTTAGGACTCAAATTGCTGACTCATTGGCAGGAGAGACACTCAAATCCATGAGCAGTGCAATCATGGTTAACTGTGCATGTAAAAAGAGCCTTGACCCACACTTTCAAGCATTGTGTCTTGCAGTCAAAGCAGCCAGAAAATTCTTGTACAGAGCTGACGAAGCCACTAAAGCAGATTTCCTGAAAATCTTGTCCATGCCGTCCAAACATATTGGTAAATCGTTAGGACCAGTTACTGCGCTGCATGAATATTTGCAAAGAGTAGGCTTGACATGTTCTGCAGATGGCTGGATTGCAGCCACGGCTTTTCGCAAGTGCCATCTCCTTGACGACAGTTTTGCTGATTTGCATCGTTATTTGACATGGGCTTGGCAAGACCAGTTGTTGTTACTGCAAACGCAAAGAACCAAATTGTACAAAGTGCCACCAATTAACCCTACTGAAACTTTCCGTTTACTCTGCAAGTTTCCGCCTAAGAAACAACTCTTGTTGCTACGTGAAATTGCGGGTGCTTTCCAAACCAGAGAACAACAGTCCAGATGGAATGGCGTTGAGAACAAGTGCCAGTTTTGCGGACATGAAGGAGACACAAGATTTCACCGAGTTTTTCAGTGTCCTTCTTTTACTGAACTTAGATTGCCTTTTCAAGACTTCTTGCAGGAACTCATGGAAGAAGACCCTCTTTTTGTTGAGTTACCAGTTGTGCATTACCATCCCCACTACGAAATGCATGATGCACTGCTGTATTCCATGCCTGACGCCACTATACCACAGACTGCCATTGCACTTTTGCAGAAGATTCCAATCACTGAGCTGACCTGATGATGATGTAGACAATGACGCTGCCCGCACTTGCCCGCAGCCGCAGCGCAGGCCAGAGGCGATCGCCAGAATAGAATGGAGGTGGTTCTAGTCGTCGTGGCGCTGCTGCAACACATCAGCACGTGTTGCAGCTGCAAACCTTAGAAGTTTGTTGTCATGGTCCACCTTAGTAGGATCAGTAGTGGGCCATGCGAGTCTTTCCTGCAGCACATCGTGGGGTCTAATAGTAGGATCACGGTGTGGGTTCTGAGTACATTCCCAAAGCATGTGCTGCACAGTGGCACAAACATGTTGGCAATAAGGGCATGTTTCTTCAGCACCTCCCATGGCATTTCGACATTGAGGTGAAATGAAAGCACCAGTTACAACAGCCAGTTCGTGACTGTTGAGTTTTTTCTTGCGCAGAATATTAATGCGGGTCAGGTCACATGGAATGTCTGCACAAACCGTTGAGTCGCGTCGGTCAAGTTCCAAGAATTCCTCATATTTTCTGATTCGCCAAGCATCTCTGAGCCTATGTGACAGCACTTCGGTCGCCTTTTCAGGCAGCGTGGTTGGTTGAATCTGAATAGTTTCAAGCATCGGGTGCGTCCAGGTCCAACTACCAGCCTCAGCGAACCCAAGTTCTTGCATGCCTTTTCTAAAGCTACCCGTCCAGCCACTCATTTTGGGTGGCCAGTTTTGCAACTGCATCTGTGTTTTGTGAACATAGCGGGTGAGGACTCGGAGAGTCGTAACCGTGGCAGCAAAACCTAAGTCCCACCAATGGCCAGTAAAAATTTGGAGTAAAGGTACGGCTGACTGCTTTGGCCACTGATGCAGCGCTTTTGCTCCCTGAAAGAAAGCGTTGCTTTCAGCATGAGTGGGTCTTCGAAACAGCCATCCCCAACTTGCTTTTGCTGGGGCACAAACCCTGGCAACTGCAGCTTTACGTGTTTTGGAACCTGGGAGGCACCTACATTTTCGAAGAACTTCTTTGGCCTCAGTGAGTCTTGTCAGTTCTCGGTCTTTGGCTTTTCTTTGGGTCACTCCCATGAACTGGAATCCCAACAAGGTGATGGAAGTGGAAACTGTTTCTGGAGGACAGCCGGCATCCTCGAGAGATCGGCAACCTTGAACGTTGCGGTGGTAATATTGCTCTTTGGTGGGGTTTTCTTGAAGACCAACCGTATTGCTCCAAACATGCCATTCATTTCGAACTTGCCATATTTCAGTCGCAGTGGAACAAGTGAAAGAACGATCATCGGCATATAAAGCTTGAACGCAACAAGGGTATTTTCTCTGAATGTGATTGGCAATGGGAGTAAGCAAAACACACATGCCTAACATGCTAAAGCAGTCACCTTGCGGCAGGGAGCGCTTGACAACATGGTTGTTTGGGAAAAATTCGTCATGGAGCTGAAGAAAACGGATTTGTTCGCTCCACATGCTTAACAACATGCGTGCAGCTTTGCGCGGCATACCTTGGTGGACAAAGAGTTTGCAGATTATCTCAGGGTCAGAATAATCGAAAGCTTTTGTCAGGTCAAGTGTACCAACCGGCCAGCTATGCATGTCTTTGAGGATTATGTGAGAGATAGCATCCTCAACACCTTTTTGGGGAATTCCCCCAAACATGAATTCGGGGGTGGATGTGTGGATCCATTCCTGAACCTCAGTTTGTTTGAATCTGGCTCGGCTGCAGATTCGCCAGATTATCGACATCACAGCTATGGGACGCATGTTGTCCGCCAGCATGCTGCCGTCAGCTTCAGGTGGTTTCCCTTTCGGGATATGCACTTGGCGAACACATCGCCATATGGTAGGAATGTTTCCGAGCTCTTCACAATGATCATAGAACCCGGACATGACCTGCCACATTTCGTCACTGAACAAACTAAGTTCCTCAGCTCTCCAGCCGTCAAGCCCCGGCGCACTGCCGCGGCTACACTTGGTGGCAGAACGGAGTTGTTCCGGTGTGAGGCTTGGCCAGCTGTCAGGAGCAGGGCGTGGTGGAGTGTGAGTAACCAAATCATCCCAAATATCATCCCAAGAGATTTGACGTCTATTCCAAATATCGGCCCAAAATTCCCTGAGAATCCTCAGGCTGTCTTGGGTGGAGTGACTAGGAACAGAGTCTTTGGTTTTCTTAACCGCATTGCACATGGGAACAGATCTATGTCGCAGCCACCTGTATGCAGCCTTGTCATGTTCCATGTTGTTTCTCCATCGTTGAAGTCTGGTGTAGTCATCTTCATGATTGAACCGTTCCAAAAGCGTTTCAAGATGCCGAAGGTTTCTTTGTATACCCCAATCATGGTTGTACATAGAACACCGTCTGATTTTATTCCAGAGAACTCGGCTTTCAGTGATATTTTGCCTGTCTTGATCCAAGTTTCGCTGGGCTTCCCGCAACCTTCCAATCAATCTGCGCAGAACTCTTTGGCGGTGAGTAGCCATAGCTCCAGCAGGATGTCGTTTCATGTGTTCTTTCTGTTTAAGAGAGACCTCAGTGGCCTTTCCTTTCCTCAGTAAGGCCGGAGACACTCGCTGCAGCATGTCAGGGGCAGCAGCCCTGACTGCACAAACTAGGGCTTGAAAAAAAGTTTGCGAAAGCATCTGCCAGTCCTGGTCAACATTGACTGACCATCGCTCTGGAAGTTGTGTGGAAAACTGCGGCCAGAGCTGAGCCAATTTGATTTGGATTCGTTCAGCAACTTCCGGGTCCTTCGGGAGGATTCTAGGAATGTTGGCTTGTTGGAAACCTAAAACAGGTTCGGTAGATAAATCGAAAAAAGTTTTGACAATTTTGTGGTCGGCTACAACATCAGGAAGCGTTTCGACCTCAGTGGGCTCAAGGTTACTGATATAGTAGTCAATATCGCGGTTTCCTTGCCACCGCGTTGGGGTTTGAGTGGCATGAATACGAAATTCCCTAGGAATCAAGAAATGAAGAAAGGGATTCTCTTCGGGTGTGGCATTGTAATCCCCCCCCAAAATAAAACGATGTCTTGGAGCGAGAGAGTGGACAGTTTGAGCCACAGCTGCACTCACGGTTTCTGCATCACTGTTAGGAGCCAGGTAAGTGGAGATGACCAGAGTTGATCCCACCCACACAGCTTGGGCACTACCTCCTTTGTGAGTGTGTGACCAGGCCGGTCTACAAGGTAGTGAAGATTTAACCAAGACTGCAGCTCCTCCGTAGTGTCGATTGACGGTGCTTTGCGCACCGGAGAAAAAACTTCTGTACCCCACAGACCAACAAGTTTTTTGAAATGTGGTCCATTCAGCCTGGCTAAAAGAGCATTCCTGAAGCAGCACAATCTGAGGTGCCTGCTCCTGGGTTTGGAGCAGCTGTTGTAAGGTCCACGATTGTTTGGGTCCTTGAGTGTTGCATGTCCAAACTGACACATGTTGATCCAAGTTGCGCAATTTTCGTGATCTTGGTCCTGGATGGGACGCTTCACCAATTCTCACAGCAACCTTATCATTATGGTCATGTTCTTTGGCTCTACGGCTGCGCTTGTTGGAGGATTGGGAGGCAAAAAGCTCCTCCCCCTGCTGCAGAGTCTTCCCCCATGCTTGACTGAGGGCTTTTTTTTGGGTTTTAGTTAAAGACTGCCAATATCTTTTCTGAGACTGGAAACCTTTGGAGGTGGGATCATGTCCCAGGCATGGATTCGTCCAGATTTTGACAGCACCAAGTGGATTAACCTTGTGGCAAATTTTACAGGTCAGGTATCCCTTGGGAAACTTTTTAGCAGTGGAGTCCGGGTGGCGCATGGCATCCGGCGGAAGGACCTCAGTAACTAAGTGCCCTGCAGCTTGCGCCGCCTGAAAAGTGGTGGCAAACGGACCGCTAAGCCACTTGGCTGGCCCTTTACCGTTGACTCTTTTTTTGGTTTGGAAGTTTGCATTTGCAACCTCGGCTTCAGTCATACCAAGTCCGTTTCTGATGGCACCTTGGTTCGCAGGGTGTCGCAAAGCCATGTTTCGGATCCAACCCAGCAATTGAGTCGGGATAGGTTGAGTTTCATCAGTGCATGCGGTGGTTTTGAATCTACATGGTGTCCCTTTTCGTCTGCATTTGGCACAAACAAGCACGGACGTCAAATCAAGTTTGCGTCTCTCTTCTTTGGGGTTATGTTTGAGAAGAATTTGGCGAACATCATGCCCCGTTTGCGGAGCCCAAACTTTCAGGTTGTCAGCGACCTTCTGTTGTTTGAGCTGACCTATATGTCTGCCTCGCAGTTTCATATGAGCTCGAAGGCCTTTGTCAGTTCTTTGTTTCTTCCTGTACGCCTGAGTTGGATTTGTGTCAGGGTGTGCCTCGGCAAAATGTTTGCGGACACTAGCTTCGTGCCAAACTTTTGGCAACAGTGGGAGTCCTTTCCCGCATTCTGGGCAACTCCAGGCTCTGCCACTTTCAGGAAGTTCCGAGGTCGGGACTGTGATCTGAGTTTGAGCACCGAGTCGCGGGCATTCAGCTCTTTCGGAATCTGTATGTCTATTTTTCAGGTGTGAACTTTTTGCAGCTTGAAGCTTGACTCTCGCTTGCAAACCTGCAGGAATTCTGATTTCATGCCGGCAGTCAGGCAGCGGACAAACCCATACCTGAGGTCCTTGCGGTTTGGCAAGCGTCTTAGCATCCAGCCGCTTGAGGTGTCGAGGATATGGAGCAGTGTCAGGGCGAAAGTCGCATTCTGTGTTGTCATTTTTGACTGCGCCTTTGTCCTTAGTACCCGACCGGTCCTTGGTCAGGTTGTCTGTCAAATTGAGGTGAGTTTCTGAGGTTAAAGATAAAACCGAAGCTTTATCGTTCTCAGAGGGTGCAAGAAACTTCATGTCTTCAATCCTTGAGTCACAACTGCTTTGCTTGAACCTGCATCTTTTGAATGGTCTTGCAACCGTTTCACTCGGATGCTGCAACTGCTGGGATTTGATGGCAGCACGCGGAGGTTCGCAGGAGTGAGGGGAGGCAGCCAAGGTAAGAAGAGAGGGGGAGCGCGGAGGATGGGGTCGCGCAAGGGCACCCGAAGAACCACCACCCGCCGCATGGCCGTGCACAACCGCGCGCAGACGCGGAGGAGAAGACGCGGAAGGAACCAAGGAGTGCAGGGACGGCGCGCGCGTGATCATCACACCCCCACCCGAGGATCCGCGAAAGGAGGAGGCGGGGAGAGTATGGAGCGAAGGAGCATGGGAAGAGCCAGGGGAGAGCGTGTGCAGGGTTTTAGGCGATTCTCCAACGCTTGGTCCAGCGCCTCCAAGTGCTTCGGCCTCGGGTTTGGCTGTCTCTCGCGCCCAGTGTTTGGGCACCTTAGTCATGCCGTCCTGATCCTGGGGTGGTCGGACGGATTGATAATGTTTGTCGTTTCTGTACACCACCAGGATTGGTGCTTCTTTTTTCATTCTGGGCATCCCCTGTGGACTCCACTCAGGAGCGAAAGTGAATCTTTCCAGAACTTCATCTTTTTGATTCCACACCACTATGCAGCATGATTTCACCTCTGCTGCTGCTTGCAGCAGCAGTCCACATATCCAGTGAGTTTGCTTCAACGCATTGTCACAAAAGGCAGGAAAGGCCTCTTTCCCACCTCTGACATGGTTTTCGTACCTATCTTGATGTTTGCGAACATGTCGTACCACTTCCGTACGAAATAGATTGGCATTTTTGATGCATTCTTCTTTGGAAAGAGTCTCACCAGTGGTTTGATAATGAAAGTTGTCTATTAATGCCCGGTACCCACAGTCACCGCATCCACCTTGATCGGCCAGCGTCCAGTTTTGGGTTAAGGCATCCGTCAAATTACCAAGAGACTGCGAGGTTGGCTTTGAACTCTGCTTGTCAATCGCTTCAGGCTGAGTCTGAGAGTCCAACTGCGTTTTTTCGACTTCCATTGGGTCCTTATTTTCATCGCCCTTTTCGGGCTTCTCAGCGGCAGATCTGGACCGATGTCGCTCATCGGGTTCTTTGGCCTGCCTCTTCGCGGGGCGCCCCCGCGTGTTGGCCGTCTGTGGAGGCTGATCCTTAATTTCATCCCATGTCTTCCTTGGTCCTCTGACTGCAGTGGTGCTGTTTGGCGCTGCAGGTTTATGGACCGAGTCGTTGACTATTATGGTAAACACAGTGGCACCTTCATACACCCAAAGACCCTGGTCGTATGGGTATGCAACAGGAGGCATTCCACAGGCGTTCCAAAAAAATTTTCTTGTTGACCCTTCTTCTATTGTGAATAGTCATTTGGGTCCATCCTTGTTGTTTGAGGAAATCAACCAGTTCTTCCGCCATCCAGTCCCTGGGAACTCCAGAAATCTGAATTCGTTTGGGTTTCTTTTCGATGTCTTCATCTGATTTCTTTGTGAAACCAATGTCATTTCCCAACCCTTTCCGTAAGCACATCGGCTGGCCTCTCTCGCCTGAAAGACGAAGGCATCTCTGGTAGTATGCTTCATCGGTTTCATCTTTTTCGTGTTTGGTCCACACAAAATGCGGACGTTCCTTAAGAGGTATCAATATTCTTATTGATAAAAATACCTTTTTTCCCTGATTTTTCCAGGAGGGTTTCCGCATCTTTTTTGGTGAGCTTAAGCCATCCTACCAAACTTGAACTTTGTTTCTGCCATTCCTGTCTTTCCCACCTGCCACCTGTGAGGACATGTGCACGACATCCAAAAGTGGCCAAGTCAGAAATGACATCAACGACACGTTCCTTTTGGGGTTCAGATACAAAGAGTTCTCTATAGTGAGAGGGAACGACAATTCTGACCAATTCCCTTTCAACCGTAGTAACATTGTTGGGATCAACTTTAACAGGGTGAGTTCTCCAAGGGTAGTCAGAGCCTAAACCGAGCAAGGCAATGTCTTCGACCTTGGCATGTTGGTTTGTCCTTTGAAGCCTGGTCCTGCTCAGTGTGATGCCAAGCTGATTCATTGCATCAGCTGACAAAACCAAAGTGAGTCCTTTCGTGAAACCAAAGCTTGTGTACAAGTCACGAAGTTCTTGGGTGACCTGTCTGTCATGACTGCAGCAAATATTTCCATCCCAGTCTTTTCCTTCCTTAATGGCCTGGCAAACTGTTTGCGCATCCACAAGTTTGATTGGCTTGTTCCATTCAACTGGGTTGAGAGCTCGCACCTTGGCAAGGTTTGGAGTATTCTGTTGAGGTTTGTGAACCTCAGTGTCTTGTTTCTTTTCATTATGTCTGGGGTTGTGGTCCACTGTGGTAACTTTGTCACCACGCTTGTCCCACCACCACCATCCTGTTTGTGGGTCTCTGCAATACTGTTTCCACGCACCATTCATTTTCCCCCATCCTGTCTCAAGAATGGTGTAGTCTTCATCTTTGTTGTCCCGCAGCTGCTCTTGTCTAGACGGGTCAGGTTTGGGCTCCTGTTTCACCGTTTTCTTTTTCTTAAACATCTTTTTGGGTGAATTTTGACCGACCACTTGACCTAACAAGGACATCACGGATTCAAACTCTTTCGGAAAAGAACCTTGGTTAAGACATACCTTCAAACCTTGGATCAAACTCCTAACCGCGGCGTTGTCATTGTCACTGTAATTCTTTTTCCTTTGCGTCCTTCGTTTATATCCACCTTGCAACCACTCAGAGGCAAAAATGCAATTGTTCGCATCAGGCTTGTACCAGCTCAGTGCATCATATCCAAGTGGCCATTCTTCGGGTCTCGGAAAACCCGAATAGAGGAAAGAGTATGACAGGGAAACATCCATGCCATTGGTTCGAACATATGTCCATCTCATCCGAAGCTTCAAAGCACATCGTCTGTGTTTCAGGCGTGCTTTTCCGAGTCTGTGCGTGCTGCATTTTCTAGCGGCACATGCAACATGTGGTTTCAACAACTTCTGACAGCGTTTGAGATCACTGCATTTTTTCACTGAGCGTTTGTTTTTCAAGCGTTTGATGATTCGTTTTCGTTTGCGTTTGTCTTGAGCCCGTTTGAGACATGCAAGCACAAATTGCTTAGTGACACCGTACCTAAGCAACCAGCCGCAAATTTCTCCCATGGTGCCCAAACAAAACCAGATAAGAAAGGGTGACCAATGATTTTTTTCATCAAACCATCCCATCTCAAAATTCCACATTTCGAGGGGAAAAGATTCCCAGGGGCGAAACCCAATTTTCCACCATTCCAAACCCAAATTCCACATTTTGGAGGAAACGAAATTCAGAGGGTAAAATCCAAACTTCCCATGGTGACACCTAGCGACCAAATCCAAAATCACATTGAGGATCCCAGGGAATTTACGTTTTGAGGGGTCAGAACCAGAACCGTAGGGGTGGATATCGAAAGTAGTTGCACTTACTTCCGTCAAAAGTCTGAAACCAGCTTCCACATCCACGGAGCCATATTCGCTCAGCGCATCTGCAATCTGCCGCCCGCTGCGAGGCACATCGATTGTCAGCTGCCATTTTTTCCCGTTGCGGGTCATCTCTGGGGGGCCGTTAGACTGAGTTGTGGCATTTTCCACAATCAATCTAGGGCGGCCGGTGTAATTGACGTCATGGTTGGCGGCCAGGTCCTTGTTGGTGTCAAATGCAGCACAGCAAGGCACAGACCAGCAAAGCATCAGCAGCCAGCCAGCCATCATCCTAGGATTGGCCTTATGGCTCTTGTCTTTTTTGGCGATTTGAAAAATCGCT